TCCCCGGAATAACGAAACGCGCAATCAGCCAGCAGTTTCAATTCCCAAAATGTCGATAGAAAATCGGTTGTTGCCATTTCGTTGCACTTTATTCCCGACAAGTCCCAAAGAAAGGAACAAAGAACCTAAGAAAAGCGGGGAAGAAAGGAAAGAAAGTATCGTTGCCCGCATTATTTTTACAACGAAACGTAGGGCAGGAAACGAGCAGCGTGGCCGGCTCGGAACGCCGTTTTGTTTCGTATCGGTTCAATTTTCCTCTCGCGATCCCGATAACTTACGGCTCCTCGCTGGCTTGGCGGCCGATGAATTCCGTCCGACGAATTCCCCGTAGGTGGGCCAGTATTTATGGTATCCGCAATTCGAAAACCGTATGGAAGGAAGCAATTTGTTCGACCGCCGATAATACAATACTACGGGCTCGCGGTAATGAAACAGGCCGGAATCGTTTCGTACATACTGTGTACCACTATTCGTATACTGCGAATGATTGTTGCAGTTTTCCCAGGACGCTGCGCGCGCCCAAACCTCGAAACAGTTTCGAACTTAACGTTGAAACTCGATAGAGATCCGACGTGATTATAGTAGCAGCCGATTATTAACCGCATATCCTGAACAATCGAAATTCACGCTTGACGATCTCCGTTGTTCCCGTGCATCGGTTAATTCGATCTTTATCTGCACGGGGTGATTAATCGGTTAGTGCGTTTGGGAATGTCTCTTTCAGATGGACGTTGCTTTTGTGATCGTGGTGATCGGTTGGATGGCAGAATGGTTATTAACCCTTTGCACTCGGAAGTTTTTCATTAGAAATATTTGGACATTTTCTGGTGAGATATCGAGGAACAAAGCTATTTTATTTCAATATTTCTCAAATTGATGCATTATACAAGGTATAATATTAAATATCAAATTTTATAGTTTTACTGTGTGAAAGCACTATTTCTGTCGAAAGTGTCGAGAGACACCTTTTGAACTTTCAACTGGAAATTATTTTAGAATAATTTGATTGATGATTGTTTTTTCTCAATTGAATTTTGACATTTCCTATTTATTTTATTTATTGGACAAATTGAGAAGTATTCAGAATGTATGGCTAAACTTAGAAAAGTTGAAAAGTGTATTCTAAATGTAGGACTAAACTGGGAAATGGTTTTAAGTTACAATTTTGGAAGGTGTCTCTTGACAGCTTTGATAGAAATAGTGTTAACCAAATGTTAGTTGGTTAATAAGCATGTTTGTCTTTGAAAGGTCATGGATTTTTGTATTTTCTATGTTTTCTGGTACTAATGAAGTAGTATTATTTGGAAACAAAGGAAATTTTTGAAAATATTGAAGTGAATGTGAAGAGGTGGTTGATTAGTATATTAATGACACGTCCGACTGGTATTATCCTCAGCCAATGAAGATCCTCGTTGAATTGTAGATTTAATGCACAATTTATTCTTGTATTGTTGCTGAGAACCTTGAAATAAAGAATGAACAAGTAGAGTCTATTAAAAACATGGTGTCTCAGTACAAATAGAGATTACTATCTTTTATTTAAAATCTATCTCATTTTTTTTTATAATTTATCAATATTCCATTTAACCTTCCATTTTACTATTTCTAAAAACGCCTTAAAATCCCCTTTGCATGAAATATATATCACGAACTAATAATAATCTAACTACTATTTCTATAATAAATTCCAGAAAAAAAGCTTTCATGATATGAAAGCTGACCCACTCCTGATTTCATTTTTTTATAATTATGAAAAAGATAATAGGTATTATATAGAAATTACTACCGGAATTAATTTACCAATAGGTAAACTGAATTGTAAGTCACATTAGAAATCTCAATCGTTGCACTGTTGAAGTTTCTATAGAAAAATTTCAAAAAATCAGTTTGACTAATCGGTAGTTCCAGTGTTAAATATTAATATTAATACAATTTTATATAAGTTTATACAATAATAGTAATTATATATATATATATTTATATATAATAAATATTTATATATAATATTTATATATAATAAATTATTATATATAAATTTCACGAAAACCTTTATTCTCGAGACAGTAGTTAATAATCTCACCTCAGAAATAGTAGTTAGACCGCTGTTATTCCGATCCACTGAAATGTCGACGGTAGATCAGCGGATCGCTCCGATCAATGGATATTCTATTCGCGTAATGGAGATTATACCGTGTTTCACTTTCCCGTATTCTTTCTGGAAACCTATAACCTAAGGATGAGCCGGCAAGAACTTGTCAGGGAAATAATACAAAAGGACCGAAGCGCGAACAGAAAATATGCAAACCTGTTCTCTCGCGGTAGGAAAGCAACATTCCCGATGGCCTTTGCACGAAAGCAAAAGACCTCGGCCTCCGTGATCACTCGACCCGCAATCTTTCCAATAAGAGAGCGAGGATCTTCGTCCTCCCTCCCTCCGCGCGCCGCATTCTCTCCACACTTTCTGAAATTAAACCGTAAACCGTCGCGGTTCCACCTGTTGAAGGGAGTGCCTGCAGGTAATTTATCTTAGAACGAAAAGAGTCCCGAGGCAACGAACTTCGTTGTTACTACGAAGTTCAATGGGGGAGCGGAGCACTTCTTTCTCGGGAAGAGTTTTATAACGATAATGTGCGTTGTCCTTGGAGGACGACGGAATGTGGAAAACATCTATTATGTTTGAACGAATTAAATGTATGCCATTGTAAAATTTGTGTCGAGTAATTTTGCTTCTAACGTTGAAACTACTGAGCATTTAACACTGAAACTGCAGTTGCACTGATTCTTTGAAATTTCTCTATAGAAACTACAAGATTCCAGTATCTGCTGAGAGTTTAATTGGTTTATAATTTAGTTTGGCTACTGTTGAATCAGTTTCTTTAATGATTTTTCAGGGAAACATTTGTTATCTTATTAATAATTACAAGAAGACATCGAAAATGGGTAATTCTGACACGTTTGGTAGTTTTAGTGTTAATGTGATTGATTTGTAAGCTGTATAAAAATTGTAACGATAGATTGTTTTCAGTTTCTTCGGATATTCATTGTACTATTCAAGCGATACTATTTAGTTTCGAAATCATTTCGAATATTTAATGGTTTTAAGGTGCCAATAATTACGAAACAAGTAAGTTCCAGTGTTAGGGTGTTGCAAGTTTTAGATGCAGATGGTATTGCACGATATAGTGAGTCGAATAAGTGAATTCTATATGCAATTATTAGTTCTTAATAAATGTTAATTTACTTTCAAGTAGATTGGATATTAAACGATGTAATAAGAATTGTAAGTAATTGTTTTCAGAATTATAATTTGATGGTTATGTGTAATTGGAAACTGCATTTTACTGAAGAAGAGAAGAAGAAAATGGATTTTTGTTGAAAAATGATTCCTGGAAATACGATGTATGACAATGTACTAAAATTAAAGGAGTAATAAGGGAGATTATCAAAGGTGAAGGGTAAAATGACATTGGGAATTGCGACAATGCTTTAGATTACTGGCATTATGACCGTCACGCATCAAAAAGTTGGAAGAAGGATTTAAGAAAATGAATGACTTGCAACTTGATGACACTGACGCTTCGAACTGTAAACGTCAGCACCTGGAGAATGAAAACATATGACTTATAATTTTCTTTACCTTTAATCCAAACACATAACTCGAGTGGAAGGGTGTTAAAGTATACAAAACAAACTCTCGTCGTCAACCAATTACGTTGTGGACGTTTCAAGAACATTTAAAAATGTATTACACTAAATCAGTTACTACATTTAATAAATAAAATAAAATAAATATGAGGAGTAAATGAAAATTAACTGTTCAAATCATTGGAAATAATTGGTTTATTTTGAATAATCGCAACGGTAATAATTATTATCCGGTTCAAATATTTGACTAACAAATTGTGCTACTTACAAGTTTCGTAGATGGATATCTATTCAAAAGAAGTTTAAATGATACATACAGAATTTTAACCTCCATAAATACTGAAAATTATAATAGCACTCCTGTCATCCTGAAATGAAATATGTAGGTAATTAAAAAGCACAACTACTTCTGATATAAATAGAATTACGTTCTCCAAGAAAAGAACTTGAAGGCAACTATCACTCCACTCTTTTTAAAAAGAAGAAAACAAAATTCCCCGACAAATCCTTAACAAAGACAGAAAAGAAGAGAATACATCCTCCACAGATGTTCAAGAAAACTCGAGAAGAGAAGAATAATTCCGGTACAAACCGTTAAGGAAACCAAAAAGGAAAACAATAATTCCCCGACAAACCTCCAAGAAAATTCAAAAAGTAAGTAACTCTCCGCTAAATCTTTACGATTACCAAGAAGGAAAAGAACGATACCCCGATAAACGTTCAAGAAAATTCAAAACGAAAATAATTCCCCGATAACCTTTAAGATTACTAAAAAAATGAAAAACTCCCCGATAAACGTTCCAGACAATTAAAAAAAAATAAATAAATGCTTAAAACAATTAATTCGTTGCGTACTGGTAACGAGAAACTTCGTTTCTATATAAAGACACTTAGCTATGCAACTTTGCTATTTACCGCAGCACTTAAAAAAATATTAAATTTGATTCGAATTGATTATCTATTTAAAATATATTACATAACAATGTTATCTGAATTTTTGTATGTATAGTCATATAAGTTAATCTCATTGAAAATTGCCATCCGCTCAGTTCAGTTTTCTGAAAATTAGTCGGTACACGGTGTGTTAAGAAACAAAAGAATAATTCCCCAATAGCCATCCCAGAAAACCAGAAACCCGGAAAACCATTGAAAAATTCCTCGAGCAGTTTCCCCTTGTGAATTTCGTCAGGCACAGGAACGTTTCGTCGCGTCGCATCGTTTACCGTTTATCGTGGTAAACATATCTCTTGTGTAAAGGTCGTATCGGGAGTGTCGGTCCTCTCCTTCGGCCTGGCGGCCTCTCCTACCTTCGCTCGCCTTCTCCTACTCGAGGGGGGCACACAGGTGTACTGGCCGCGGCGGTCGGCGTTCCTCGGCCGCCATACGCTTTCAGTTAACGCCTGGTCGTCGCCAGGTATGCCGGTTCCCTCGTGGCCCGCCGCCGTTACCCGCCGATCGTTCTCGGATCGCCGGCCTTTGTCTCCGCGTCGCGCGTGCCTCTGTGCGTCCGTCACGGTTCCTCGGTGAAAATCGGTTCCGCGGGTTCAGTGGGTGATTTGAACGCGTGGACCGGAGGATACGTCGGCCGAACGGCCAGCCTGGGCGCCGGAACTTCGATACATGCGGTGCGTGGGTGTGGGATTGTGGGAGTTCGTGCCGACTGGCCGACGATTGCTTCTGTGAGATGTAAGTAGATCGTCTTTGTAAATGATTAACGATACGAGTAGTGGAAGTGAGAAGGAATGCGGTAGGATCTTGATTAATATCTTGTTTTATGATTTAGTTTCGCAGTTCGAGTTGTTGGAACTACTTATTGTTAATAATTTACTGGAAAATAAATATGCTATGCTAAGGTTGCTTCTGTGAAGCTTGTCTTTGAAAATGGTTCTTCATTCGGATTTAGGTGGAAGTGAGAAGGAATGCGGTAGGATCTTGATTAATATCTTGTTTTATGGTTTAGTTTCACAGTTGCACTTGTTGGAAGTACTTGTGGTTAACAATTTACTGGAAAATATAACATTTCATGCTAAGGTTGCTTTTGTGAAGCTTGTCTTTGAACATGGTTCTTGATTTAGATTTAGAAGGCAGTAAGAAGGAATAATGGATTCTTGAATAGTTTGGTATGTGGAGGTACAATACGGAGCTAGATTGGCTTTGACACACATTGATGGGATTATTAATCACGTTACATGTTTCCTATAGAAATAGTTAAATGAATTATTCTTCTTTGGCACATTTTTTATCGGTTTATAAAGAGGATGCAGTGTGTATATTGAAGCATTTGTAGTGTATAATATATATTATCCATTGAGATAGATGACAGTAACGACTGTGTTAACGTAGTCAGCAAGATCATCGATAAAAATTGAACAAATTTGTAGTATTTTTTCTAATACTACCCGATTTCAGTACTACAACGTTTCTTTTGCGATACATTTATTCAGATTTTCCTGAATGCCTAAGGTTTCATTTATTGACATTTAATTCGATTCGATTCTGATAGAGTTACCTCTATGATTTCAGTAATGATAACATTGCGAAGTCATCTGACGACTCTAAAGTTGAAGAAAAAGGAGGAACTCGAATTTATTAAAGTAAATGATAGTAACCGGTGAAAAATAAATGAAATAAAAGGAAATAGTTAAATGAAGAATTCAACTGGCACATGAAATACCGAGGTTCAGGTTTATGTTAGACTAAAGGAATTCGTTCGGTCGTCAAGAGGAACCGTTAGCTTAAGAATTTTAATAAAATAGACTGACTGGGACATTCGCATCAAGTTTTTATCCGCAGTCACCGTGAGCTGATCATTTTCTACTCACTAGTGATAGGAATGACATTCGAGGCATTAATTGGGTCTGCGATAATGAACCACCAATGTGAAATATTTGCTCATATTGGCTTCGAAATATTATTTACTTAAGCCGAATTGATTTTCGAGACCAGTCGGAATAACGTCAATGGTCGCAATACGCAAGATTTATCTACGTAAGAAATAAAGCAGCTTTTACTAATTATATAGCAAATACCTATCCATACGAGCTATGAAATAGCAGCAATTTATCTGTTACGCAGGATCAAATTACTCCGTCTGTGAATGATTTCTTATCGCAATAGATATTTATCAGTTGAACGAGCCAGAGATTATTTGTCACCCTAGGCGTTACAGATAAATCGATTGAAATTACGCAGTGTTAAATCATTATTTGATTTTTATCTTTATTTTATTGTGATATCTAATCGAAACTTATTGGAGGAATTTTCTGAAGGTGACATGCTAGTTTAATACAATTTTCTTATTCCTTAGTTTTATTTAATAATTTAACCAAATACATTTGGTGAATTTGTTTTTGAGGATTCTATAGAGTTTACAAAAGCTTCTGTATCTTTCGAACAATACTTTTTAACTGGCACGTGCGTTTGATGCAATGTGTATTATTAGAAATCTTATAGGAAAAAATAATCTATATTAATATAGTGTATTTATTGAATTACTATCGAATATTACTTCTGTATTTTTCGAATTGTCAACGTGTTCATCGTTAAAAATAATTGGTTGAAGACAATTCGATACGTTCTGATTTTAATAATTTCCAATTAAAAACTCTTTATTGAATATTGTATGTAGATTTTCATTCATTCGTGTCTTTTTACTGATTAATTGGATTCTCGTCAATATTTGTATTCGATCTTAATTAATTTTAATCAAGTCATTTGGATGCTTCGTCAAAATTTCACCGTAAAATTTCAGTTTTTGAAGACTGCCTGTAACATTATTTCGATATGAAAAATTCGTAGAATCAAGTGTACCTAATTACAATTACTCTTCGTCGTACATTACAATTGACAGCGATTAGAAATGATTATTCTTCACTCGAAAAAGCACTGAATTCACCTGAGCAAATTCCGGGTTCCTGATCGTTTGCAAATAGAGCCGTAACGTTTACACACGCGGCTGTAACGTTGCCGTTTCTATCACGTTAAAGAGCAATCTGTATTTTCTTATTGACATAGAGTCTATAGGACTATGATAGGATCTAGCGTGCATTATTGACACAACCTGAATTTTCAACCAATAATTAAATTGTACTACAGTATCGTCGTTAAATCGATGATTTACAGGTATAAGAAAATAACGATTCCTCTTCTTAATGGTGATTTTACTTTAAAAACATCTACGAGTTAAACAAGAAGAGCGTTAAGAAGTTCTATAAAATACAAAAATGAGATTACAATCATTAATCTGTAGTTACTGAAAATTATAGTTTTAAATTGATGATAAAGGACGAAATGTTATAACTCTCGTGAATATAATGATATAAGAAGAAAAATGAAACGTATGTTCTAAAAAAAGATCATATTACGCAATTAATGTAAAAGTAATAGTAGAAAATAGAATCAGTTGAAACGGTAATGCTTCTTGAAATAAAACGCAACCGATTCGATACCAAAAAAGGAATTAGGATAAAGTTTCTAAAAATAAAGTAGGTACCACAAATTTTTTATTTCATTATTCACTTCATTATTTACATGATAATTTACTTCATTTTTTACTTGAATGTTTACTTGACTATTTACTTGATTATTTACTTTATTTTCCCTTACAAACCACGAATATTAGAAGCGACTACCAAACTCTTGACTAACAGTGCACCTATCGCTACAAAACCGGCCGTTTCTCAACATCCTCGAAAAAGGCTCGAGACCGTTCGTCGTTGCGTGAACGTGTATCAGCTGACGAGCGAGGCGAGTCGGCGACGGAATTTTAATTCGCAGCAGCTTCTTTCACAAGCCACGTGGTCTCCCGGCGCGGGAACGCGAAAGAAAGTGGACGAAAGAGAGCGGAAAAGTGTCGGGCACTGGCGACGACACTTGTTCGGCTCGCCGTGCACCGGATCCCCCGAAAGGGAACGAACCCGTTCGTTTTTTTTCCTCTTTCGTTCCGTCGGTTTTCCTCTGTCGATTGCATGACCACATATCCGGTTCGATTATTCGATACGCGCATATTGATACGGACAGTACAATTAAAAAAAAGATCCAAAATTGAAGATAATGGAACGTATAAACATTATTCAATATTTTCTGCACTATAAACGCACAGTGATTTCTGGTATTAAATCAATTGAAAATTGATGTATTAGTAAGTTATATTTATTATTAATATCTCTTTGTTAATGTTACTTATTGTTCTCTGATGATTATTAATTGTTTTTATTAGTATCATTCATTATTATGTATAACTTATTAGAATATATAATTATGTCATTAATATTTCAAAAACTAGTAACCCCTTTGATTCGATGTTAGACCCGTTGATTTAAAATACTCGAATATATGCAATTAATGAGAAATTCATTTTGGAATATTTATCTTCTCCACTCGTAATCGATTTGATTTTAGTTGCGCTCGATTCAGGGCACGCGAACGTACGGCGATGCGATTAATGAAAAATTATTTCGGACTATTTATCATTTTCTTTCCTAATCCGGCAATCCGAAGCGCCGTGCGCGGTTTTCAATCGCGGAGATTGCGATACCCCGGCGGATGACTCGTTTGATCAGCCATGGATCGATTCGATATACGCGTCACGCGTTGCGACAGCTTTATTTCAGACCCGTCTCTCTTTCGAGGAGATGGAATTAATTAGAGGCTACCGTAACTACTTGGTTCTTCTCGTTTCTTTTTCGTTCGTACGTCAGATAGTCGTTCAATAAGATTCTCGTTCGACTGTCTGGGATCGCGGTAAATTGCAACGATTCCCTGATGTTTGTCTATCGATTGGCTAGATATTGAGCAATCGCGGAGTATATTGGGATTTGTAGCATTATTCGATCGAGTCGGTGCAAACATGCCGCTCTCGTCTGTTTAACGGAAAATAGGAGGTGAATCGCGAATGACTAGAACATTTTATGTGAATTCTTCTGTTTCACCGTTTTCGTCAAACGACATTAATGTGTTTATTAGTTATTGCGAAGAAAGAGCGAGACAAGTTTTATTGGACACTCTTAGAGCTTGTCACACTGGTATCACTCATTCTTTATTAATGTCAATTATTTAATTTACCAACTAACTTGCACATGTGTATTAGTCATACATAAAGATATACAATTTTTGTTATTTCGTTTATATATTTATAAGATATATGACTCTTAATTTGTGACGTTTATATCAATGTATTAGTGTTCTTAATATCATTAATAAATTTAAGTTTATACGTAATATTAGTTAACTGTTGTCAATATTATTATTAAATGTATATTTAACACTAGTTAAGTGTTATCAATATCACGAATAAACTTACATCTAATATTTGTTAACTATTATTAACACGATTAACTCTTTGCGCTCGTACGTCGAGCGTGACTACATCAATTTTTTCACAGGTGTGCTTCTTTGCCAATTTTTAAAATACATTATATTATCACGTTATTTTCAATATTATTACTAAGAAGAATCGTTTACACTACTCTCTAAAAACTATCTATTTTTTAAAATACATTTCAAATTAAACATCGTAATACTACAGAATTATCGAAGAAAAAATGCGAAAGAAATTCAAAGTGCAAAGAGTTAATATAGTCGTTCGCAACTGCACCTACATGCACACACAACCAGCCCTAATTTCACATACAGTTCGAAACTTTAGCCCGACAACGCGTATCGTCTCGATTGAATCAACATCTCCC